GTTTTTGGATTGTTTTGGTTGTCCGTAAAAACCTTTGTTACACATTGTAAGAACACACAGTAGCGAACAAGCTCGTTTGAGGTGATCCGTCCACAGGCTAACACATCACAGTTTATGTCAGAAAGTTTAATAGGGGGAGGAACCATGACAAAATACGAAGAGAAGGGATCAACATTCCAGTTTCATGATTGGACATTGCTCACAATTTGGTTATCACAAATACGCATTGGTTCGGGTCATTAGGGGCAGGTAGGGGAATGGCTGTCTCGTATATGTTGGCCATGGAAAACCCAGTGTTCTTACGAATTGTCTTGGGGAGCATTTGCGGATTCCGATCGCTTCTGCTGTAACCAGAATGCCTCTCCTAATCCCCTGAGATCGACGGTTGCAAACTACTGTGTTCTTCTCACTGTGTAACCATTCGGACAACTAACCCTTCATCAATAGAAATATGACCTGTATTGTGCGCATGTTATCTTTTAAAATTTTGTTATCCATTCCTCTGTACTCCGTAATTTCAATGTTGAAAAACAACGATTTTGTTAGTTTTTTTTTAAAATTTAAGCACATTGTTTCGATTATTAATATATTCCTTCAGGTATGCCAAGCACTTAATCTGGTGATTTCTCGCCTTTGGGGCTGCTTACCACCACACATGCCTGTGGCTTCCAACTCGTCCGAGCTTTCCACACAGGAATCGGCCAGCCGTGTTGTTTGTCATTTGCTGCAACACCTGAAATTCCGACGTGCTTTAGCATTCAGTCTCGGCTCGGATTGCCCGTTGAGCAGCAAAATCGCATCTGGTATTCTTTCTGAGGCATTATTGGCTGCTAAACATCTGTCATCTTCCCCACACCGTGCACTGACTAGAGCCGGACTTCAGTTAATCCGACTTTTACTCGCATTTGTCGGTCTTGGTGCGGTAGGCCTCACCGATTTGGTACGTCTCTGCCTTATTTAATAACGTTTGAACAAGTTAATTTGGAATCTTATGAATACCGGCTATTTTTGGTTAAGGCTTAGGTGTTTCGGCTGTAACGCACCTTTTCTACTACTGTAGAAAGTGACAAAAACGAAGGCCACTTATTTGGTGTTTACAGATCTCGATTCTATGAAGAGATACTTATCTTCGTAATATTACGTCGTATGCTTACCATTCCTAATTTACCAGGCCAAAGACCCGGTTGGTGTGTAGGAATTACTCAATTCCCTCGTTTTGTTCGACAATGTTTCTTGTGTTCTCGAAACGTGAATTGCTCATACAGGAAACAATCTTGTTAACATTGTACCCTCCCCCTTTTTTGCTACACCTTGGCAGGCTGACTTTAGATCCATTAAATTCTACCCTTCACACATTCATTCATCAATAATCTGTCCAAGTAATTCAACTTCCGAACTTGAATATTTCATACGAAGAGATGAAGTTCGGTTCCCGTTGATAACTTTGTGATATGTCCTCGGAGCTATCTTTGACCTTCTCAAAACTCGCACTGTCTCGAAAAGTATTGCGTAACAAATATATCTCGTTACTTAGATAGTCGATGTAGTTCTTGCGGTCGAACTTCCCCAGGTATCCAGAAATTCATTTATCTGGGTCGGAATAACACTGCCAGACTTACTTTGAAACCGAGATACAACAGTCACGATTAGAAAACACGTGAGGGATATTATTTGTTCAACTCCGACATCTCCGCATCGTTTTCCGAGTCTAACTAAATAAACACTATCTTTGGACTCCAGAGTGTCATGTAACTTTTATCAGGCAGCTGCCTGACTTTCATAGACTGTTATCTGAAACACATTAAGCTCCACCTTTGAATTAGATGTCTACTAAAGTTGTTACTGGTTATGAGAAGAAATAGAGGTGGCCGGTTTATGATTTGAGCCTAAGGTCCCAGAAGCCTTTTGTGAAGCTAACGTTTAGATCGTGTTAGATAGTAGTATGTGGGCCCACGATGCTTATCCACTTTCTGATGGCAAACACCAAGGTCAAAACTAAAAGTTCCATGGTCAATGGTAATACCATTTTCATTAGCACTTTTTGTCGCACCAGATCGTTAGAAAAGTCACTATAGTGCAAAATAAACTCTTCATATCACCTAACCTACTATATTATGGACCTGTTGATGAAATGATACCAATCTTCTCTTGCAAAACAATATTCCTACCTAGTAATGCTAAATTAGACCCAAAATGGTGAATAATATTTTCGACTAGTATTTTGTAAAATACACTGGATCACTAGCATATAACTTTTTTTATTGGCAGTTTTTTTAACGTTAAGTGATCATTCGAGTTCAACCATAAGCTAGCTTTATGCCCACAAAACGGGTGAATTTCTATCATAACTTACGGAATACAGAGGAGTGAAACAGAACGCGTATATGAGACTTTGGTAGCAGAATGATATCAGTTTCAGTTTGTCCAACCATTATCCATGCACTATCGTGCGCTGGTTTTGGTTGCTATCTTTCGGCTGCCCATTTGGATGAACATTAAGAGAAAGACAGGAAAGGTTGAAAGTAGGATCGAAGAGAAAGATGAAAAGTTCAGTGGACTAATGATACAGAGAAATCGAGAAGATGCACAAACGCCACTGTTTACGACACCCAGCCATTTCACTCAGTGTCTCGAACCATCGGGTACGACCATCCCGAGGTTCCCAGTCAGAGAGCCTAACAGGACCTATGTGACCCAGTCTCCTGGTTAGGGTTTTCATACCTTCGTGCCAGGTCTTAGGTTGACCACCCTTGACTTTCTTCCAC